TCCTTCCCATTGGTCCACTTGTAAGCTTGGAGATGAAGAAAAAACTCTTTTTTCTTCTGTTACTATTCCTCACTTTCTTTCACTTCATCAGTTATGCAGCCATTTTTTTCTTCTCCGGTCACCTTTCTATCAATCTCAATTATTCTTTGTCTCCGACAAACAAACCAATACCACTATAAAAATAAAAAATAAGTAATCACTACCAAATCATTAAAAAAATACTAACTAAAAAAATACCATTACGCATAAACAATACCATACAATATTAACCAATACCAGTACAGACTTATTCAATACCAGTACATATTAACCAATACTATTGCATATTAACAAATCTAATATTAATACATGAAGATCAATACCATATGATAAGATCAATACCACTACGATAAAATCAATACAAAAAAGCAACACCATTACATGAAAATAAATAACTACGAAAAAATAAATACAATACGAAAAATACAATACCACTCAAACAACAAGTCCCCAATACCAAGTACCCCTATATTTTGGAGATATAGTGATGCTCCCACCGGTGATCCTCGAGGCGGCGCTCAAAGGGGATTGAGTTGTGATTGCTAAAATTGAAATTCGACCGGAGCTTGAGCCATCGGTGGGTAGAAGGCTTCTTCGGGAGCATGGGAGAGCAGCATTAGAAATATGAGAAATAGGGACAATATGTTGCGAGAAACCAGAGGAAGAATAAATGGTTAATTGCATGGTTGGTCACAGAGATTACAAAAAATGTTCAAGTTTGGTCACTCCAAATATTTAAATCCATAGGTGGTATTTTAGTTTACTGAAACCATTCACGTTTGGTCACTCTCCTTCCAACTCGTTAGCTTTTGCTTACGTGACAGTCAACTCTAAAAGCTGACCGTTAAATGTGTGACGTGGCATTTTAAATAAAATAAAAATTTTCAAAATTTTCATCTCATTTCCACCTCATTATCACTTTATTTAAAATAAATAAAAGACCTTAATTTCTTCTAATCCCCAATATCAATACCCCCGCCGGAAACATACCCCGATGTCGCTGCCGCTTCCATTGTCGGGCTACCTTCCCACAAGACCGAAAATCTTGCATGTCGGAAGAAAGGTTCATCGGTAAGATCGTTTCCCGATGGATTGGGAGAGTCGCAGCGAGGGCACTTCACCACCACCTGATGATCCGACGGTTGGCGTGGGCCACCGGGTGATGAAGACGACGTCGTTGCTCCTGCTGGTGCTTTTTTACTCTTATCTGAAGCCATGATCGATGGTGGGCAGCTAGATGTTGAGGACTATTGATTGGCTTCATGTGAGGTAAAGTGCTTCTCTCCCTGTCTCTCTGGTTCACAAATCAATCTATTACCCTAACCCCTTAACCTTCAATTTTGAATCCCAATCCAAAATCCCAAATTTTAAACCTAATCCCTAAATTCTAAATCCCTCAAATTAAAGTGAATTTTGAATGAATTTGTTTTCAAATTCATGTGCTTCTTGTTCATAATATCATAAGCAACAATTGATACCGTTTTGACATGAATCACATGCTCAGAATGACAATTATGAGGCAGGTGCACTAAGTGCACCCAAAAAAGTGGGTGCACTGAATACGCCACCATATATATATATAATACAATAACAACCAAAAAGTGAAAAAACCCTATTCCCACCCCACCCAGTAGGGGTGGGCGTTCAGTCAATTCGGTTTGAACCGAACCGAACTAGAGTAGTATCGGTATTTCGAACCATTGACTGCGCCAACCGAAATCGAACCGAATTGTATTTCGGTTCGGTTTGGCCGAACCGAAATACAACTCGGTTCGGTTTTTGGGTAAGAACCGAAAAACTGTGTCATTATTGGGCGGTGTTGTTCTGCGGACGCGGCTACTGGAGGTCGGAGGAGACTGGGACTGGAGTATGGACGATGGTCGGTGGGATGTCGTGGCGAGTGAGTGGTGGCGGGCTGGCGGCCGGCGGAAGAGTATGTGAATGGGAGGCGGCGGCGATTCGCGGTGGGAGTGGGAGAGAGATGGATCGGAGAAGACTGGAGACGCATCACGTCAGGTGGGACTCGGCAGTCGGCACTCACAGGTCGGGCCGTCACTGCGACGAGTCACTGTGGGAGAAATCGCCGATTGGGAGCTCGGGTCGGGCTGATGGGCGACGCCGAGGCGGCTGTCTTTCTCTCCTTTCGATTTCGGCTGGCGGCGGCTGCTAGCTAGGGTTTTTTGTGCGAACTACGAACTGCAAAGAGAAAGACGTAAAGAGTTGCGACTGCGCGAGTACGAGGACGAGAGATTTGGGAATTGGGTCGTGTTTCGGTTGAAGCTTGTGAGGGAGTGGATCAGTCATCTGTGCGAAAATGGAGTTGGATTGGGCCTAGGGCCACATTTCGGATGGGCTCAGAGAGAGAGGGGATGGACTCAGGCCTTAGAGTTAGTGGGCTGGGTTGGAAATTCGGAATTCGGTCGGCAAATCGGAAGTTCGGTTCTGTTCAAACGATGCTGATTTTCGAAATATACGATATCTCATTCCGATTCCCGAACCTAACAAGCTTTAATTCGGTTTCGGTCGGTTTTAGTTCGGTTCGGTTCGGTAAAACCGAACCGCATGCCCACCCCTACCACCCAACGCCACTCACCTCACCCCCTCCCTCTCTATCTTTCAATTTCTTCCTCCCTCTTTCTCCAAAACACGAATTCAAAGAAACCCAATAATCATCTCACCTCTAGAATTCAATTCTTCTACCGCCTGTTTGGATTGGCAAAAAAGTAAGGAATTTGAATTCCATTTCCAGTTCCATTTCCATATATTATGTTTGGAATAATAAAAAGGTTGAGAATTGAATTCCATTAGGTCTAAAATTTGAGAATTACAATTCCTATCAAAAGTGATAGGAATTGAAAGAATGAAGATAGAATTAGTGGAACCAATCAATACTTTTTATTATTTTATTAACCCACTATCATTTTACTCTCTTTCTCTCTCATTCATATTTCATTTCCCAAAATAAAACAAACATATTACATTATTTATTATGGTTAAAAGTGCAATTCATTTCTATAGTTGTAGGACTTATACCAAACACTAGAATTGGAAATGAAATTCTATAAAAATAAAAAATGAAAATGGAATTCCATTTCCATTTCTTCCGGAATTGTATCCAAACAGGCTGATGGACATCCACTGCCCTCTATATTTCATCTCTCAAACTATCAAATATGCTTCTCTCACTCTTGAAGGTGACGACGACGATGGATGACAGAGATCGACCATCGGTGCCTCTCTACAATTTTTATTTTTTTTAATAGCGGACGAGTCAGATGTCAAAAACCGGTCGGGCAGTTCGATCGGCTCAAACGATTAACCGTCCCGGCCGCTTGAAAATTGCCCTTCCCAACCGTTGTGGCTATTTGAGTGTACCGATCCAGATTGATGGTCGGGTGCCGGTTTTACCAATCCGACCGGCCGGTTTAGGTCGCTTTCGATAACACTGGGCGAGGTATTGGTATTGGGGATTAGAAGAAATTAGGTTTTTTTATTTATTTTAAATAAAATGATAGTGTGGAAATGAGATAGCAATTTTAAAAATTTATTATTTTTAAATTGTCACGTCACACATTTAACGGTGAACTTTTAGAGTTGACCGCCACGTAAGCTATGGACGGAGAGTGACCAAACGTGAACGGTTTCAGTAAACTGAAGTACCACCAATGGATTTAAATATTTCGAGTGACCAACCATGCAATTAACCCGAAGAATAAATCTGGTAATCGTCAAAATGACAAGAGGTTGAAGATAACTAGGAGTGAGTTGTCGGTTTTTTTTTATAATAAAGTGGAAGAGTCTCTTTGGCAGAGTATGGAGGCGACGGATTTGGGAGCGGCGTTGGATGGAGAAAGAGATAGAGGAAGAGTGACGATGGTAAGAACGGAGGAGGGTGAAGATGTAGGTTGTCTCAACAGCAATTATTTTATTAGTGTTTACACCTAAAAATTAATCTCATACAACATCGATTAATTATAAAAAAGATTAAATGACTTTATAAGCTCAAGTTAATACTAAACATTAAATGAGCTAGTTAAGCCTTATTGATTCGGGGTTTTGGGCCTAAGTGACCAAACTCCCTCTTCCCGACCTAGTGGTCGATTGCCTCCATGGCCTCGATAATTGAAGTCTTGGTGAAGGGGTTAAGTTCTCATTCCATCAAGATGGGTAACAAGACCTAGCTAACAAGACGAAGATGGTACTAAGTTGACAACAAATGAGCTAAGTGTGGAATCATTAAGGTGGTCAGGCTTGTCAAGAAGGCCCGATGGGAGGGCCAATGTGACGGAGACAAGGTGAGGAGACCTCAACCCCATCCAGCCAAGATGAGGTGAAAGGCCATCAAGCTGACACCAACTGTCACCAAGGCGGCGATGAGAACCTCAAGGCGATTAGAGTAGTAGATCAGCTAGCGGTTACCCCTGATAGCTATAAATAGGAGAAACGAAGACTGAAAAGGGTTTAACAACCAAACATTTGACACACATGTCAAACTTTATATTTTCTCTATAAATTAGCCATATTTTTTATAGTTTTTGGAGCTCTCACTGAACCTCTATAAGAATAGAGTAACATAACTTAAATTGTGCTAAAAAAATTATAAAAAACACATCAAACAACCTTGTTCGAATCGGAGAAATATAAACCATGTTATTGTCGTTGTTCAAAAAGTAAAAAATACATTGATTGAAACCAAACACAAGAGTTTCCTTGCCAGAAAACAATTACTACTTACTTTAACTCATCCCATTGAATAGGGGAATAATAATGAATGAATCTTTTAAGTTGCTAATAACAAGACACATAAATGTATTCAGTTGCTTCTGAATAACTAAAAAATGGAGGGACATATTGTAGGTTTCGGGGTTCCGTTAGTTCAAAGGCTTTCTTCGAGATTGCATGTCATTGCCTTGTTTGCCCCTCTGGTAGGATGGGCAATATGCCTGGGTGAAAGAAAGAAAGAAAGGCAGGTGTTTACTGCTAACGATGGATGTCCTCCAAAGGCGCCTAGCTAATAGCTAGGAGTCCAAACTCCAAACCCTGTCCAGACCTAAAAAAAACTTGGTTGTTCCAACCAAAATCAATTATGCAAGCAGCAAAATTTATCAGACACAATTATGCCTCCCTGTGATAGAACATGAGATTAGGGTTCTATCGGGAATTGGGAATTTAGAGATTAAAAACAAAATTAGGGATTTGAGGAGAGAAAGATAGAGAATCGGCCTAGACCTTTAGAGGGATTGGGAACGACAATTGAGAGGATTGAGAGATTAGGGTTTAGGAGAGTTTTCTTAATATTCTTCTTGACTGATCATAATGAATTCCCAAAGTACACTTATATAGGAAAAGATAGAAAACCCTAACAATAAACCTAATCCCACTAAAAGACTACTAATCATAATAATAATTATTCTACCATTATTAATAAATGAAACCCTAATAATAATATTTATAACATTCTCCACCGCTTGAGAACAACCTTGCCCTCAAGGTTGTAGTGAATGTCAATTTTGCACTTCGACTTCCTTCGACAACAGCTAAACTGCTGCTCGTGCTTCCTACTCTTCCAATTCCGTTCAAGGACTCGAGCCAAACTCCTAGCAGAAGCAACTCCATCCTTCGCTGGGTTCTCTTGAACGACATAGCTCGATCTATTTTCATCCTCCCTCCTTGACTCTTTCTCCTGTCCGACGCTACTTGCCGTCGTGCTCGTCTTCTTCTCCGGCGATGACCCGACCTCCGGCGGTGGCATCTTCTCCTTGTTGTTCGACGCGAGACCCGACGCCGGCGTTCCTCCTTGGACGATCGACGCTGCGCCGAGCGCCGCACCTCGCCCTCCGTCCTCCTGCATCGCTGTTGTCTTGTCGGTAGTCGCCACGACCCGCGGCGCCTCACGCGGCGACGCCTCCACCGTCGCCTGCCTGGCCCGCGCCTCGGGCAGCCCTGCCGTGCGCCGCCACCACCTCCCTGCCGTGTTCACATGCCGTCGCAGATTGCGTCGAGTCGTTGCATCATACTGTTCCAAAATGGATCAGAGAGCCACGAAGAGCTCATGTTGGCTCTGATACCAAATGATAGAACCTGAGATTAGGGTTCTATCAGGAATTGTGGATTTAGGGATTAAGAACAGAATTAGGAATTTGAGGAGAGAATGATAGAGAATCGGCCTAGACCTTTAGAGGAATTGGGAACGAGAATTGAGAGAATTGGGATATTAGGGTTTAGGAGAGTATTCTTAATATTCTTCTTGACTGATCATAATAAATTCCCAAAGTACACTTATATAGGAAAAGATAGAAAACCCTAACAATAAACCTAATCCTACTAAAAGACTACTAATCATAATAATAATTATCCTACCATTATTAATAAATGAAACCCTAATAATAATATTTCTAACACCCTGCCACAATTTTTCCTCTTTTATTTGTAACTATTTGAGAGTTCTTCAATCTAACATAATTGCTCTGCCTATGCTGTGGTGTTTGAAGACAAACAAATGCCTGTACACAAATCAGTCTAAAGTGTGGTTCAGGTTATGCTAAGTTTCAATAATCTCGCCTCCGACTGCTGACTAGGTCGATGACAAAATTGTCTTCTTTGTTTTCACACATCTCAAGGAACTTTTTGTATTTTGCAGGATTATAAGCCGCGGCTAAACGAGCATAGGTTAGAGCTTCAGCTTTGCTGCCTTTGTCGTATAATGCACTGAAAAAATCAGGCAAACGTAATGCAGATGAAAAATACAGTGAGCAGATAGCAGGTGCATAAGCTAAGCTAGGGCACATTTTTATAATCTATACACAGTCCGAATCCATACCTGGCAAGTATGATCAGGCCATCAAAATAATGGACTTTGCTCTTCGGTTCCAGGGGCTCTTTCATATTTGCAACTCTTTCCAGATGAACTAGTCCTTCTGCATGCTTCCCCTGGCCAAGTATGGATCCAAAAGTGGTAAGTAACAAATTTCTAGGCCGTCATTTCTCATGCATATTTATTAAGATGTGTCATGAACCAGTTGATCCCAATACGAGTTGTTGGGAGAAGGTTGTACTGGATCTTATCCATTCGATTCCTGGTAGCCCCCATTTGTTATAACACATGGTATTAAACCTGTGCAAACTTCAAGCCCTTGTGAGTGGCTTTCGTTTGAGGGGGCGTGTTAGTGTGTGGTATATGATCCATACTCTCAAACGAAAGCCAACCCATGGGCTTTTAGTTTGCAAAGGCCCACCATATCTTGTGCTTTAATCAACTGTTAATATTGGGGGTCGTGGAAATTCGAACACACGAGCACTTGGCCAAACCAGCTCTGATACCATGTCATAAACCAGTTGGTCCCAATAACTCGAGTTGTTGGATGAAGATTATACTGGATCTTATACAACTCTCTTACAAGATGCACTTTCTAAATCCAAATTCAAGAAACTCCCTTAAATGGACAGGAATGGTTTTGATGATCGGCTTACCATAAAGTTTTTATCCCAAAGTTAACCCTCTATATCAGAAGTTGACGAGAGTTGCAAAAAAGTCGATACATGATTATTCAATTACGTCAATAGAGCTTATTTGCTTTGACCTATTCTCTGGTAACTGTCCATAAGCAACTCATGCAGGGAATGAATAAGAATTTCAAATCGTTGAATCTTCTCAGAGCTCTTTCTTTGTCTCTCTCGGCTCTCCTGTCCTATTCCCTAGTCAAGTTCTCATCATCTCACATCAAGACTCTTTTGCTTCCGTGAAAACTAAAGTCACTAACCGAAACAGTAAGTATGCCAAATTTCTACCCAAAAAAAAAAAAAGTATTGCCATATGAAGTAACCCCTGCTTGTTTCGTCTGTGTTAGTAATTAACGACAAAAAAGGAAGAAAATAAGACATGTTGGGAGTTCTGACCTGCTCTATGTTGGCAATTCCAGCCCACTGAGAAGCAAGAATAAAGATATCAACCTCTTCTCCTTCTGTTGGAATCCCAGTAGCAAGAATCTGAAAGAAGACCCAAAGCAGTTTCAGTTCATTAAAACCTTAGTCCTGGAAGTATAGAAGCAAAGCTACCGCCAGAGAGATTGTTCAAGGTGCAAATTAAAGCAACTAGTTAAGTGGAAGTAAAGTTTCATTTAAAACTTCTCATAAGAAATGAGCGACTATATTGGGGGTGGGGGGTGAAGTGAATAATAAGGTTTTGAAAACCTTGGAGATAACACGCTCTAAATGTTGAGCAGCCTCTGCATACTCTCCTTTCTGCAGAAGAGTCTGCCCCAAAACAGCCAAAGCTCTTATGTAGTCAGGATCCTTTACAAGTGCCTCTCTACAAAAAATCAATAATGAGGCGAACAAGCTTCATAATGAGCATCCAGCAAGTTGAATAAAATGGGAAGAAACAGCAAGATAGAGTCACCTTAACAAAGGAATTGCCCTTCCAGTATGCCCACCAGATATGAGTTTGACAGAAATCTGTCAAAAGTAGCATAGTTGAAGTATAAGAAAGTGCCCAACTATATTGGCATCTCAAATTCATTATCACTCACTGCAAGGAGTTCCACAGGGGATAAATTTGCAGGAATGACTTTTTGCCACATTGGTGGTTCCAAGGATGGGGTTTCTGGTGCAGCCACGACTGTGGAATTTGCAGCAGCAGCTGGAGACTCTTTCTGTGGTAGACCTAATTGTGCTCGAGCCTTGGGACTCCTGAGAATGAAATGCTGCAGAACTGATTCAGGTTAGTGAAACTAACAAATTCTCCTGTAAACTCATCTTTTTCGGACATCAAGATCGAGATACACAGTAACCCCAAATAGTGGAAAGAAAATAAATAAACTGCTGCACAAGTGAGTCGCCACAACACCAGCAAGATGTGCCAACAGAAAATTTTCAAATATTTGCCAAAACCAGGCACCACATGGAGCATTGTAGTGCAAGAAGGTAACGTGGAATATAAGTGTCAGATAAATAGTCAGGACATAGATATGGTAAAATAATCAAAGAGTTATTGCAATTTTCTAGTGCATACTGATGCCAAAACCTTTGTGCTATCTTGTACTGATTGAGCAATTTAAAGTGCCTAAGACATTCCAACAATTATGCATATCCTGCTAATCGAAGTGCACAGTCCTCTCATACCAAGTTGATTATCCACAGTTTCCACTTCACCAACCTGGACAGCGCTCAGTGAACTGTTAGTGACCCAGTAGACCAGGCTTCCCTGAAAAAAGGATTGATATGCAGAATTAATAATCACGTCACCAGTGTAAGAAGACATGGAAAAAAGTTATAAGCAGTTCCAGATGTAATACTAGCACAGCATCAATTAAAAAGGTAACTATTTGTGCATGAATAGACTCAACTATACTTCAAAGAAACACCTCCCTAGCATCACTCACATTCTCATACATAGAGACTGACAAACTATAGCCACTATTCTAAAAATTACTATGTGCTTTCGGCTCAATGATATTAACACAATGGAACAGACATAGAGAAGAGAAATGCTGGGACACATTTATTAATGTAAATTTTGTAAATAATCCCAGCAGAGTAGATCAGACAGATTACACAGACAAAGACTAACTCAGTAACTATATGTATGGGCATACATTTGATGCGATCCAAGAGAAAATAGCAGGTATGAGCCCAAAGAGATTGATGATACATAATATGATAATATGCATGCTTATGTTTGCCTATAGATTGAATCCATCTCATATAAGTTTGGTCCGCAACATTGTAAACCTTAAAACAAATTGTTCAACTGTATAATAAAAAAATAAAAAGAGAAACAGAAGCCAAAATCAATAACATAGTAAAGCAGAAGATATCACATTATCACTGGGTCCTAAGATTATTGACGCAAGAAATGGAATGTAATTTGAATTGGACAAATTATGGACCCAGTTCAAGGTACGAGCAACAGTATGTAGGGAGTTACCTGAGGTATGCAGTAACCAATGTAAAGCAAAGGCAATACAAGAAAATCCAAGTAGTGCTTGTAATACTGCCATAGTCAACATAAAACACTTTTGTGAGACAACTAAGAATGCTGTATAAGCATGAATTATTAGTTCACCAGAAACGGAACACATAATCATAAAAATAAAAATAAAACATGCAGAATACTCTATCTGCTCACCTTCGCTAGCAATCCCAATGTTCCGTTCATTTTTTGTAATGACGAATTATCAAAAGCCAGCTGAAATATTAGAAGAAAAAAGTCTTTTCAATCAACATCAATGCATATTTGCTACAGATGAATAATTAGCAAGATCTCAGAAAGAAAACCTGCATATCCAAGACTTAAAAAGAAAGAAATGTAAGTCCATCATGGAGAAGTGAAGTCACAGATGTTAGGAATTCAAAGAAAAAGCTAAACAGCACACCTGTAAAGGAAATATATAGCCAACTACCTGAACATTAAGAAAGTGCAGGCCCGAAATCAATATCGGGAATATAGAGCCAAAAGGACCGTGAGAAAATTCAGTCAAGTTCTGGAACCATAAAGCGCCACCCTGTCGAATAACACATGAATTTTACTAGAGTAAGAATCTTGAACAAAAGAGATACTGAACAATCGGCAGTGAGTAGTGAGTACATAAACTTAGCTGCAATTATGTCTATACCATCTAAGCAAAATGAATTAAGTAATGATACACCCCATGACCTAGAGAAATTAGAACTGCTAGTTACTAAGTACTAAGTACATTGAAAGCCAAAGGATGATTCAGAAAGAATATGCAGAATACCTCATAAACACTCTCTGACCCATATAAGTGATGAAAAATGGCTGGAAGATCCAGTGGCTAGACAACTCATAGTAATTGTTTGCTAAAAACCCACATGTCAGAACACAAAAAAGATGTATTGTGAAGTGGAAAGCTACCAATCCATGGCAGCCAAAATTAAGATCATATATCCCACCAAGAAGGCAATTGTCCAATAAGATGTCTCAAATGACCGTTTCAGAAGTGCAGGACCCCAAGGATCTGTCTTCTGGAGAAGCCGGCAAGGAGACAATATATAAATAACTGCAGTGATGGAGCAGAGCTTCTCTATGCAGTTAATGACAAAGTTAGGAAAAAAGTAATCAAAGTCCTCCTGTTTTACATTAACAAAAGATGTATATTTCGTTTTGTACTTGATATTTTTGGTGCCGAGTAATTGACTTAGGTGAGTTGGACATTCTCAATTTCTCATGCACCCTTTGCCACTATATCTCCTCTACAGTTGCTTCAGCATACCCAAAATATCCAACATTTAGCATTACCACGATTCAACAAGCGGAAAGAATGTACAAAAAAGTTATAAAAAAAGCAGTTACTTACACATTCAAACCCGGGGTGATGATCAAGAGACATTCTCCTAATACTGGTTACTGCCAAGAGAAAACACGGAACCTGAAATAATTTGGAAAATACAGGTCAGACATCCTCATCCTACAGCAAATGAAAATGCAAAACACGTCTACTCATACAGTATGTGAATGTAACCAAACAGCCAAATATGAGGCTTATATTTTACTTAATGCACCTAACGCTACTTTAAGTTTACTCAAAACAATTATGCATCACATTTCCAAACCTGTTTCCCAATATGCATAAAGAAGTTGTCTCATGGAACTTCTGTCTAGCTATCAATCCAACTGATACTTAAGAAACCTTACACCTTATCCACTAGCGTTGTCGAAATACCACCACTTAATACTAAATCCAATGCTCTCAAGCATGGTCTCACTAGAGTCAACCTAATTCATGCTAATAGCTTGAGGCAAGTCACAATGCAAAGCACATACATGATGAGCATAGAGTAGGTCTCTGATATCTTCTGCAGTGATACCAATGCTAAGAACTTCCCACTTTCTAATAGGGAACCTAATGCTATTTTAAAATTAAACAAACTTTGAAGTCCTAACCTAGTTGTCAAACTATGGAATGGAGTCAAAATTCTTTTGATTTTGTCTCTATGGTATTTGATTTTGATTAGAGAACCCCACCTGAATCAAGTTGAGATAGGATTCTTGTGGCCTAGCGATGAGCTTTTATCACCAACGATGGTAATATGAGCACAAAGTTTTTGCCCAGGAAGATATCCATAGAGGTTCACAAAGGGGTCCAGGTGTGATAAATGCAGCTCTCTTGAATACGCCATCAGTAGCCTGATTACAAGTTATTTAAATACAATGCTGCATGTATTGATCCTGCGTTCACGATAACTAATATAAGTTATGTTTCATCCAACTGACGATGACTAATTCAACTAAACCTTTTGTGTGCATTCCGATAACTAATAACAACCGTCCTCCTGTCTAAGTGAAATAAATCTATGGCTGCATAGCAATCTAGTCTCTATACGCACATTATTAAATGTACCAATGCCAAAAACAGGCACATCGTAAATGACCACTAAGTATCATCCTTCAAACCAAAGCAGTTAGTCGACACGGGTCAGTACTCATCACTACCTGAACGGAGACGGAGGCAAGAAACCACAAATATGATGGACAACCAACAGCTTTCCTTTCTCTTCGGAACAGAGAAATTTGGTCAGTGAAAGTCCTTCCGGATAGAGGTGGTGGGATAGGAGGTGGCACTAGAAAGCACAAGTAACTGTTAGTCGTCCACAATCATTGACAGGTTAAACACACGGGGAAAAAACTAAATTCAGAACAACGCGAATCATTGGCTGCATTCCAAAATCACCCAGAAAGCATTGCAGAAAATGAAGGAACAACCGTTTCAAACAAAAACTCACATTTGGGAAAGAATTCAGAGATAGTTTTCAGCTTCTTAAGTTGCAGGACGAGTAAAGGGAATAGCGCCATTCTCATAACCAGAGTGCCCGATGCAATAACAATCCACCTGAAACATTCTTCAATTCCTCAAACCGACGAAAGAAGCAATTCTACTCTTTGTAAGGCTCATTATGAAATCAATTGAGCTCTTTTGATTTTCTACTCAATTAAAACCCTACGAGCTGATCACTCACCAAGGCAAGCCAGTGACGTCGTGGTACCCATCGAGCAGTGAAATCAGCGCTCGGACGGGGAGAATCGATTCTTCTCCACTGCTGACGACATCAGTTACTACTCCTTTTGCAACTTCAGCATCCAGTCCAGAACCAGCAAGCTCAGGCTCCGAAGTCAAACCAGCTATAGGATCGTCTATGAACGGGGAGCTCTCGTCTGGTAGGGTGGATAAGGCCCGTTGATGAAGACGTCGACCAACGTAGAGTGAATTCGGAGCCGGAAATGCGCGAGGGCTACGGTAGGGATGGATTGGAGGTCGAGAAGGGGTGGAGTTGCCATCGTAGTTGACGCCGGTAACGTGGCGATAGACGCCCGCCGGTGAGAGATAGGGGAAACCGGAGAGGGTACGGGTGCGGCGGAGTTGGGAATAAATAAGCTTGGGCATTGCCATGTCTGGCAACAAAAGCTCGGCCGAGGAGGACAGATGAACCCTCCGACACCGTTAGTTCCTGGGTCCAGATGAAGTGAGTAACCTATAAGAGTTACTAACTATAAATAATTCGTTCACATCAACTCACATCAACATCCTTTTTTTTATAGAAATTTTTTAATTTTTTCTTCTTTAATTTTTAACAGATAATTTTTCTCTCATTTTAAGTTAGAATTTGTTTTCACAGACAAATCAAATTAATTATATTTTCCTCCGACACCGTTAGTTCCTGGGTCCAGATGAAGTGAGTAACCTATAAGAGTTACTAACTATAAATAATTCGTTCACATCAACTCACATCAACATCCTTTTTTTTATAGAAATTTTTTAATTTTTTCTTCTTTAATTTTTAACAGATAATTTTTCTCTCATTTTAAGTTAGAATTTGTTTTCACAGACAAATCAAATTAATTATATTTTTCAAAATAATATCCACTTGATATAGTTTTAGAATCAAAAAATTTGAGACATATTTTAGGAGTGGATTATAGGTATATAATATGTCACTCTACAATGTAGTTTTATCAAACATGCCCATTTACTATTTTTTACATCAAACATACCCCTATACTTTGTAAAAATGATCAAACATGCCATTCTGCTTAAATTTGCATCCAAAAACCATCAACTATGATCGAACCTTGATTTGGGTGACACATATGTCTAAAAACCTTCTAATAATTTCACTTTAGAATTGTTTTGTTTCTTTTGCGTAGCCAAATAGCTCTAATAATCTCACTTTAACTAGAACTGGAGAAATGAATGAGGAGAAAAAACTGACATTTCAACCATAATTTTCCGATGTCGGGTCGTGTGAATCTCGGTTCAACTGTGCTTGACCATTTTTTAATGGAAATTTTAACATAAGGGCATGTTTGATAATTTTTTCTAAGTGTAGGGGCATGTTTGATGTAAAAAATAGTAGAGGGGCATGTGTTGATAAAACTGCATAGTAGAGGGGCATATTATACCTATAACCCTTTACGAGTCTATACCATATGGTATTGACTGGTATTAAATAAGAGCATATCATATGGTAAGAAGCGTACCATGGTGGTATGAACATACCAAGACTGTAGGATGGTTGAATACATTATAGTAGGAGTATACTAACTTCATTTACGACTTTCATTGTGTACCACAAGTTACCACCCTCATACCAGGGTGGTATAGTATGGTATTTTTTGGTCCTGTATTTTTTTTACCCAGAAATTTGTAGACCCAATAGATCATGATGAACTCGTTCCTTCTAGCAAATATTTTCAAAAACGACTTAAAATGAAGGATATACCTACCGTATGGTATGGAGTTGGTAACGAGAGGTATGAATTTTTTTCTCAAAAAATATTGAAAATTGATCTCATTTTGTGGAGCACAACGAACTCGTTTCATCTGTGCAATAAAAATTGAAAAATGAGTTAGAACGAAGAAGATAAGAGCCTATTAAGAAAACTAGGGAAAATAAAATGTCATTAAACAACCTTTAGATCTGAATTTCCGTGGCTCACTTAAATACAAAGGTGCAGATTTAGTTATTCATGAGTGAGTAACCAATGATTACTAACCCTATCTTGAGCCTAGTTCATGTCTGGTATTACTATTTTAGACTTTAGCAATTAGCACGCGCAAGGTAGTTTGCATGTTAGATTTAAAAAATAAGTAATTTGGACATTTTGAAAGTATGAAGGTAGTCAAATCCGTTTATGTTGGTATGTCGGTTTTCAAGTGGAATGGTTTGACCATAGTACACTTATCTTATTGAGTGGCTAAACGTCGCCCTAAGTTGTTATAATCGCCCTATTTTAAAACAAAAATAATAATATATTATTCTCTGTGAAATAAATTAAATTAAAAAACCCTCCTTATTCCTCCAATACTTACAGTCGCACTATCCACCAAAACCCGCCGACTCCGAATGTCCTGCCACAACCGTCGCTTCCTCTCTTCGCCCCAATGCATTTTTGTTTAATAACATCTCCACCCCTGGAACCTTCCCGCTAGGCGTCGTCTGAATCACCCACCTCCAAAATCAACTTTGAGTCGTGTCTTTCCCTTCTCCATGCCCTCGGAATCAACTCCGAGTTGGGTATATCCCTTCACCACATCGTCGGAATTAACTCTCGTTGTCGTATGTCCGAGATGCATGTGTCCCTTCTCCCTCTTGTGATGAGCATAACGATCACATTGATGGAGGCGGTTGACTGTGGAAATCGACGACAATGGGCCGCCGATAGTGGGAATTAGTAGATGACGGACAGGCGCAGATAATGACGGCCACGGTGATGAATGTGGGTCCAGTTTTTTTATGGATGTGTTTAGGATAATAAAATACTTTCTATAAATAAAATGGTGAAGGATAAATAGGTAATTTTAACATTTAAATTAGAGCGATTGTAGTAAAATTAGTGTGACATTTAGCAATCCTCTTTTATGCAGTTAGCAACAAAATTTTAGAGTACGAATATAAATAACATATTTCAAGCAATATTTCTGTACTCAATAAGTTGGAGGGAGCAACAACCACAAAATGTAATTCATACATGATAATCAAAGATTAATTGGGGAATATGATTTAGAAAAACAACCAAACAAAAAAATGCATATGAGTTGTGGTTCAATTACTAGTAGTTGCAGAATTGGCCTAACATAAGGAAAGGCAAAGCCCAACAAAACATTACCTTCCATGGGTTTATTACCCAGCTTTGTATGCCCACTTGGGCCTTTGATTTCATCAATGGAACTCAAGTTTAACTGGTAAAAAGAAATAGTTGCAGAATTGAACAAAAAATAGATAGAAACAGACGCAGGATATGGAGCATACAATGCTTTGTAATCATCCCAATAAACAACACAAGACTTTTTATCCACTTCCAAATACAGGAATTGAGGCATATTTCGTCAAAACAAACCAAACTACAAGCTTGTTGCTGTAAAAAGACTTTACATGCCACTTCATAGTAGAACTCCATACAAATTTCTAATTAATAGCTCTGAAAATCATGATTCAAAGAGGCGTACAAGAATAAAAAATGTAAGATGAAGGAGCTAACCTCTACTCGCCTTCCCTGTCGCATTGGAGAAGAACAGGACATCGCCTCGCCATCCTCATCGAGCCGCCGATCTGTCTACCGATTTAGGGTTTGTCGAGTGAGGAATAAGGAAAAAAGAAAGATGAAAGTTTGTTGTGGTGGTGGGGTTGTTTGCGATAGAAGATTGAGAAATGAACGACAGGAGATGAAGGAAGAGGAGGGGAATTTCGTGGTTGTTGTAGCTGTGAGCTCTTAAAATAGTGTTTAGGGTTCTTTTTCGCGAGGAGATGGAGAAGATATGAAGGTGTCCCTATCTTCTAAGGTGAAAGGAATCACTCAAGCTAGCACCTAAGTCAATGATCATGCAATTATATACACTTCTAGGTAACTTTTTGGCTCAATGGTCATGCAACCAACAAATTACCTAGAGCACTAAACCTAGATTCCTCCAATTGGAACAATCCCAAAGGAAAATGGAACTTTGACTCAATGGTCATGCAATTTAAATCCCACTCTATTGGATGTATGTTCTAATCTTAACCTAAATAGGTAATCATTTTTACTAAATCAAGATATTGGCATGATAAAGCATCTAATATACATATATAGATAGGTTAAAAATCATTCTTACATATGACCCATACACAATCTATAAGCTAAGGTTCGTCTTCCTAAACAAGAGGACTAGAACATAGAGAGAGAAAGAGTGTAAAGGAGGAGGAAGAACGCCAATCTTGAGCATGATCCATCTTGTCCTTCTTGGCTTGACCATCCTTAATCAATTTTGAGAGAATTTTGCATTAAGATGAAGAAGAAATCAACCAAAACCCCTCCAAACTCATCACTCTCACTCTACATCTCACCTTCGGAACACCCCAAAAGGGAATTTTTCTCTCCTTCCCTCAATCTTCACTTTACGCCACGCCGACTCCCTTTTCGTCATAAGGCATGAAATTAGACCAAGGGGATCTCCATAGGAACTAGTCCCTCTTCGCACGTAGAAAATCGGACCCTGAGTAGACTGCCGGTGATAAGCAGGAGGAAGGTGAGGATGACGTCAAGTCAAAGCTTAGGACTTTGATCAATGGGCACTATAGAGAGGCGCTAACATGCAAAAAAGCGGGTGGAGGATGGGTAACCCAGGGTATATATCGTTTATGGTTAAACGCTGGCCTTCCGCGTCAACCAGTGCACCCCGATGCACCGATCAATCAAAATAGAGAGAGTTGTGATTGTCAGTCTAACTATATAAAGAAATATAAAGAAGACATGTCTTTCTTCTTCATTCTGCGCAAGACGCTGGTGAAATGGCGCTAGAATAGATGAAAGCAGGACTCCGTGATCTTGAAGTCGCGATCATGATCTTTTTTGTAGTGAAAATCCTCCTTGACGATGACTCAAGTTGAGTTTAGTCCATTTTGGCATTGCCTCCTCAAGTTTACGTCACAACCATGAAGATCGTGGATGTGAACAATGTCATGGTCTGATTCTCATGACCTTGAGTTGGTCGTGACCTTTCTAAGGTCCTATTTTTCCCCTTCTTTTCACTCTTCAAACGACTTTCGATTAGCATGAAACTTTGCGTACCTCTTCTTCATCACACACGAACTTGAGATTAAGTAAGAAAACACAAAATAGCCTAGAAAAAGGATGAAAATGACCAAGTTTCAAGCCAAATGTCCAAGTGATGATAAAAGTCGTGCTAAATCTAAAAGTATAATAATATGAGGTAATTAAAGGATAAAGTAAATCTCAAATGGCCAAAGATGATGATTATGGTATGCAAACACCTAAGAAATGGAAGGCTAAATAACACCAATTTAGGTGTTATCACCTGGTTGAAGAGTGGGTTAAGGTAGAGGGCAGTAAGTTGCTTACTCTTAGAACCTCTCTTCTTATGTGGAGGAGGTGACTTGGATTGAGAAGAATTGGAAGTACCACTCCTATACAACCTTGGAAAATTCTCTTAAGTTTGAGTTTGTTTGTCTTGCCC